AGCTACACGTCCAGGTAGTAATGTTAAAAAATGGTTTGGGCAGACACAGCAGAGACTCTGTGTTACAGCATTTACTCTTATACAAGTTAACATATGTATCATTTGGTTAACAACTTCTCCTCCTTTTCCATTTAAGAATTTTAAGGAAATTAAAGACAAGATCACTCTGGAGTGTGCTCTCGGCTCAGTTGTGGGCTTTTGGGCTGTGCTTGGTTATATAGGACTTCTGGCTATTTTATGTTTTATTTTTGCATTTTTAGCTCGAAAGCTACCCGATAATTTCAACGAAGCCAAGTTTATCACTTTCAGCATGCTGATATTCTGTGCAGTATGGATTACATTTGTCCCATCATATGTCAGCTCCCCAGGGAAGTTCAGTGTTGCTGTAGAAATTTTTGCCATACTTGCTTCCAGTTTTGGACTGCTAATTTGCATCTTCATACCTAAATGTTATATAATCTTAATGAAACCTGAGAAGAATACAAAGAAATACGTGATGGGGAAGAAGGCACCAAATTCACTCTGAAAAATGAATGTGGTAAAATGGGATTTTAATTTGATCATTTGTACATAATTAGTTGGTCACCATCCTGTCAGAATAGAAAGAAGCTGTCAGCAGGATGCACTCCAATTGATACTGTCTTTATAGAAACTACTTCTCCTTTTTGATGCATTTTAATCACTTATTCAAACAAGAAACCATACCAAGTTAGTGATAGTTAAAGGTTATTGAGTCATTCACACATTCATCATGACATGCTTTTATATTGTTCTGTAAAACTCGGGAAGGTTTTGATTTGAATAATATGCAAATGAAGGTAAAATCAGTAAGAGTATCTATAATTCTCTATCTTGTTTGTTTTAATTTTCAACAAGCCTCTATGTGTATCCATTGTTGAAATTTAGTGTGCAGCACAGTCTAAAAGATGACAATCGCTGGTTTGCGTTTTCCATGTACCGTATTTGTCACGGCTAGACGGTCCTCACCGGTCGCCTTGCCAATTTTTGTTGTGTTTGTGTGTACTTTGTGGTGCTCTCCTCTCCATCCTGTGCATGTGTGTTTGTATGCTGGAACGTGTACTTCCGGAAGCCGTGGCACGGAACGGCAGCTGACCCGGAGGGAGTATCCTGAGCTGGAATCGTCGCACCTGTGCTTAATCACTTCGCCGGCTACTACTAATCCGAAGCAGACCTATTTAACGGTGCAGTCGCGTCACAACCAACGCTGGAACGTTGAGCTAAACCGGGTAGCGTAGTCGCGATTAGCATACCTAGTTTGTGAAGGAGAGAGAAATTTTTCGTTACCGTGCGTGTGTTTTTCTCATCTGCCTCCAGGATCCAGGGATCGAAGGAGGAGCGGGCACAAGGAGTTGTTTTGGGTTGTCACTGCACTGTCACCACGGGGAGAAGCCACCGTATCACTGCACTGCCCTTTTTGGATTACAGACTCGAACTGTTGCCTTATTTTTTCACTGTGAA